TATTTAGATATTTAAATATTATGTTTATCTATATTTCATATCTCGTACCTTCATTTACATTCATATATTTCCGTAACTATATATATATATATTTCATGTGCAGCAGTACAGGGTATCTCCTAGTCATACACTTCATTTGCATTTAGTGGGATTTCCAAAAACGAGGATTCCACATACTCAATGAGCAGAGCATTTTGATAAATTCTTATCGAATCGGCTATAGTTTATTGCACAGTGAGTAAAGAATCTAATAAATGAGCCACTCACTCATGTGGACAGCTTATCCTCATATTAATATTGATATGATTGTGCTGACATCATATATAGATTAGGCAAGATTAGATAGCTTTATGTAGGGCAAATTGCGTACGTTATCATTTGCCTATATTTTCGTTTCTATCTGGGGGAAATCATTAAACGAAATCTTAATGAAACAACAAATTTCCTATATTTATCGCAAGATCTATACTTTACAGGGTATTCTTTTTATGTTTCACAGGATAATAGACATTAATGTATGCGTTCATGAACTCTCTGTTTGTTTACAATAATCTTAACCTAACTAAATATCTATTAATAGATAGAACACTGAGTTTTGCACGCAAGCTAATGTTTTGATTCTATAAAGTGTAATGACAAAGTTATATGACTACGCCCATTAGGGGCGTGGCAAATCGGACCTGAATATATAGTGACTTTTCAAATTCTGCTATATTTTGGACAAAATTTGATATATATACTCGGGCTGACCATCCAAGACCAAAAAGCTTCGACAGATATATCTCCGCCCACAGGGGGCGTGCCAAACCGCAAAAGTTTACATCTCCTAATGTATAATAACTAGAAGCTTCAAATTTGGATGGTTAAGTTACTAGTAATCTCCTCTATCGATGCCCCAAAAATAATTTAATTATCGAAAAATACCTTGTAATTTTCACATTTTTTGAGCGTAAGCATTTAATTTTTCCAGTTAGGGTGCCGTTAGCTCGTTCTAAAAACTGACCAAAAATGAGGTGTCTACGCCGAGTAGGGGCGTGGCAAATCGGAAAAAACTGAATTTTCTACAGTGTTAGAGCTAAACTTAGCTACTAAATTGCTGATGGGATCTGAATGAGTATTCCGCAGTCGGTAACGCCCGACTGCAACGTTCTTACTTATTTAATTTCAATTAATATTATATTTTATGGGCGTTTGAAATTGAAAACTTAAAAACCGAATATTAATGTTACTCACTGTATATAATAAACAATTCTTATCCGTAAGGCCGCAGGTGTATTTACTCTTCGGCATATCGTCGCAATTCCTCATTTCTTGTTTTTTATTTGTATTTATTTATTTATTTTTTTTTTAATATATATTTTTTCGCATTCAGAACTATCTATTATTATCGTATTATCGCATTGTTTACCTCCCATAGCGCTTACTTTTTATTTACCGTTCGGATTGCTGTTGCTTACAAATTGTTACAGCAAATAAGCAAATACCAAATATTGTTGCCAGGGAGCGATCAGTCGAAGGAAACAATTCGAATGGGTTTATGAATACTATTCTCTAAGTCTGTTCGCAATTCCAGAACAGACAAGAAAACTTGCAATTCACAGTGGACATCGATACCGTTATATAAGGTAAAACATTTGGATATTCTTATCCCGGCAGCCAATTTTAAGATTTATTTTAGTTTTATACAATATTTTTTATACAATTCAAATATCACACTTTTATTTACATGAATGACAAAATGTTTTTTAATTTTTCTTTCTTAATCAGAAGCTCACATGTTTTTAGGCTTGTAAGAAACAAATATGTAGCTAAATTTATAATAACAAAATAAATAAAATATTTTATTACTACTCGCAATACTACTTTTATGCATATCAAGTCATGCGGAAAGAGTGGCACTGTATACCCGGTTCAAGTGCGTCCAGGGTATAATCAAAACAAAAACAAATAAATAAATGGCGTAAGTCGCTTTGAACAAGTTCCGAATCGAATGGAAATTAATATGGGATATATAATGAATATATTTATTTATGTATATATGTACCATAGATAATGTATATATTGGATATGCATATGCATATAGTTTATAAACTTGGAACATTATCTACAGAATAAATATACATACATACATATGTACGCATTCACATATATCTATGTGCTATATTATTTTATATATTTAAATATATATGTACATACATAAAACATATACATACATACTTCTGTGATTCGCTTTATTTATTTTTTCATTCACAACTTGATTAGTCTAGTCGTATGTGTAGTACACATTGTGTACGTATGTATATGCATATGTATGTATGTGTGGGCAGTGCTTCACAGCTTATTTCAACCAGCTGATTTCAGCTTTTAATGATCATGAAATGTTTTAAAAGTATTTCAAAAATAAATGAGATCATTTTTTGTTGGAAATTAAATCATGATCTGCTTTAATTAAGACTTCATATAGATGACCAAACTTTCAGGTGCAGGCTGGAATAAGCTGTTAACTGTTTATATGTACTGCTCTTTGTTTAGTGAATGAGTAAACAAAGCAAAAACAAACAAAAACGTAGTAAGCTTTCATTAAAAACGCGGCTGTCTGGCGATTATTTATTGGACGCAAAAACCTATCGAGATTGCTATGATGGCTTTGTCAGATACCAAGTAATAGTTGTTTTCGACTTTGTTGTTATTTGCATTTGCTGGCGTCCGTTGGCTGACAAACAACCGCTAGCTACATAACAATTGCAATTGTTGTTATTTAGCGAGTCTATTTATTTACTTTTTTTTTTTCTTTTTTTGCACTGATAGTCGAACGATAAACAAAGTAATACAACACACAAATGACAAGTGCATTCGCTCTACTCTTTGAGCAGAATCACACACACATGCTTGTCACACACATATCTATATATTGACATACATACATGTTTCCATATGTATGTATGTATTGCATTATCTGGCAAACTGTGCCTGAGGCTGCGTGTGAATCATTTGCGCTGCATTTCGCTTTGGTTAATTGCGCACACAAACACATGCACAGGCCACTGTATATACACACACTCATGCATGTAAAAGTCTATATATATATGCAGGTAGGTAAGTACATAAAAAAGGCCAGCAAGAAAAACAACGCATTTGACCGCTAGCCGAATTCTTATACACATGTACATATATACACACAAGCCCACGCTCACATACACATACATACATGCATACATCTATATGTATGCATGTACGTACATATGTCCCCGCATGCACGCGCCACAACACAGAAAGGCACGGCAAACGGTAGAGAGTGGGGGCTTGTCGGGCCAGCAGATAGCCAAAATGAAGGTGTAAGCACGTACATACATACATACATACATGTGTATATATATTAATACATATGCAGGTGCGCACATACATACATGCACATGCATGCATGTATTCACTGTGCCCAAAATAAAATATTGCAACTTTTAACTATAAGGAAGTTGTTCACGAGAAGTCGACAAGAAAATACTCTTTCAGGCATTTAATAAAATAGAATAATAAATGTGAATAAATTCTAGGTCATTTAGTATATGCAGAAATATGTTTGTATGCACATATGTACATATTGCAATTTAATAAATTTCAGCAACAAACTTTTTTCACTCAAGTGTTGTATACTTTTTTGGGTAGCAGCTCACTTTTAAAAGAAACTATAAGGAAGGAATAAGAAATATACAAATCGTATATACATATGTATGTATATATATATATATCGATGCATGTATTTAAATATACAAATACAGCTTATCGTGTCAATTGAGTAGCTCGTCTGCTCATCTCTAGTTCTAATATCTTCGGTAAGGGTATAGGCGCTGGCCGGTGGCCACGCGACGCTTAATCAGCCGTTATACCGCTCTCGCTTTCCTTGTGCTCGTGCGCTCTTTTTCATTTCGCTCTTTCTTCATGTCGCTCTTCCTGTCAAGCTTTCGTTTCGTTTGAAAATGCAGCGTCGTCGTCATTTATTTTTGTTTTGCTTACTTTGGATTGGGGTTTGAAATGGGACCGGGCATGGGAACGGGAATGGGGAATAGGGAATGAGAATTGGAATCGGAATGCGCGAGACATGCGAATGCGAATGGGAATGCAAATGCAAATGCAAATTGAAATGCATTTGGTTTGTGACCCAAATCGAGAGGCGTGACTACACTTAAAAGTTTAAATAATTAACGGAATGCGTGCGATTGCTTGTTTTATTTACGAGCATRCTAGCAGGTGTTCATAGCCATTACCCGGACTCATTGAATTTACTTATATGTACGTATGAATGTGCATATGTATATGTACATATGTATGTATATGCATATCAATCAAAAACCTCTCAGCTTAAATACCGATATAATAATACATTTCTATTGCAATAACTTTATTAGTTCTATATTCCAACGAAAATGCAATATAGTATGTTTTAGTTATATTTATTATATATTGTAAATGAATGAATGAATGAAACTTGAGTTTCTACCCCACCTTAACTGCTGTCTAAAAATACACCTTTCGAATTGGTCACATATATATGTATGTACATACTATATATATATATATGTAAATGTATAGAGCGTGTATTCGCTGTACTTACCAGGACATTAACATCACCATGCCAAGCGCAATGACAGCGCCGAGCAGTGTTGCCCGCGTTGGTCGTGGAATTTGAAACATATTTTTTGTTGCGTTTTGTTTTTTTTTTTTATCGTTATACGTTTTATTTTTATTTTATAGTTTTTTATCTATGCAGAGGATAGTGCTTTGGTTTTGAAGCTGTATTGTCGTTAGGTTAGGTTAGTTTCAATCGATTCTCAATCGATCAGCTGTGCGCGCATGGGCGCCGTTACAAACTGCGCATCTGCACTTTACCACTGAATGCGCAACCACACAATATGTCAATTCGCAACGGGGCACTGAGCCAACTTGCTTTTCCTGCTGCTGCTGCTGGTGCTGCTGCCGCTTCTGCCGCCGTTGCTGCTGCGTAGAAATGAAATATTGCTGCATGAAAACAAAAATATGGCATTTTACCAAAAATAAATGCAAACGAAAAGTCCAAAAACGAAAAAACAATCTTGCTGTTTATAGTATTATTATTATTATTATTATTTGTGTTATACCCTTTCAGAACGTATTATAAATCTGTCACGGAATTTAGAGCATTTGTCAAGAGAATTTTCAGTACTTTGGCGCAGCGAAAACATTTTTGTTTTTGTTATTATTATTATTGTTATTATCGTTGTACATTCAGACAAAAACAACAGTGTTTATAATATAGGGCATTGGCAGATGGTATTTGCGTTCGCTAAAGTCGCAACCATGGAAATAATCGCAATGGTTATAGTTTATCGACTGCATAATACCCTGTATTTTAGTTTCGCTTTCCCACTTGAACTTTAGAAGAAAAAAAAAGTTATTTATAATTGTCAACTTAGTTTCTTTATCACACAAAACCAATGCACACTTTTTCCTTTTAGCAAGCAGTAGAGCGAAAGAGAACAAAGAAAGTAAAATTGCGTTGTTGCTCACAGCCTATGCATATGCAATGGTGTTCATGTGTGTGTGTGCGTGCATGCGGCTATTGCGACTTTCTTAAAATCCTTTATGTTAAGCTCGCTTTGAGCTCAGCTTTGACAGCAGCTCTGAGTGTACCTGCGTTGGTGTTTAGGCATTCGCCTCGTCGCCGGCAGCGTTTGAGCGAAAGAGCGAGCGAGCGAGCGCTAGCGTAGGCAGTCTACAAATAGTGTGAGAACTATGAGAAGTGTGACTGAAGTTGCGATAATAACAAAAAAATAAACAACTCACAGAAAAGCAAAAAACGAAGACGAAAACAAAAACGGCAAAGTTGTTTGGCCTTCGATGTCTTTTCAATTGCGTCGCAGAATATACATACATACATACATATCCATGTATGTATGTACAYATATTATATGTGTATTTTTATGCGTACACCGTCTCTTTGTATGCCTCTGTATGTGTAATTGAGTGGTGTTGTCATTCTTGTACTCTAAATTGTTCTACTTCTTACAAAGTAATTAAATACAAATTACACATTTATATACATATATATGAGTAAGCAACGCAAAAATAACGCAAACGGTCGGTCAAGTGGCAAGACACTAATGCTCGCCCCTCTTTTTGCAAGAGCCCTTAAACAAAAGGCCAAGATTGCAAGAACGAAAAAAAGCAAAACAAAAATAAAGAGAAAGAGAAAGAAAATGACACAGGTTGAAACGCGCCTTCTTTGTTACAGCTACACTAAACTAAAACGCAGTTATTTGCAGTAACAACCCAAGACTCCCAAGCCCACACACAAAGGGCAGCAGCGCTGGATAACAAACACCCACACACACACATACATGCATGCAGCACAAGGCTACATAATTTACGCGCACATGTAATTTTTGTGTTTCAATAATACATATATGATTTCAAAACGTAGAAATACGTTTCTATGTTTATATATTTCTTCGGCTGTAGTTCTTAAATTAATTAATTTTGTAAYTCGCACACATACAACGCAACGAATTTCCTGGACCAGCCAGCGCGCAACAGCACAAACAAAAACAGCAAATAATGTTAGGGCGGTTGAGGTTGATTCTTAAAGGGGAGGCACGTACGACGTACGTCCTTCTGTTAGACGGTTAATTTTTGGCAATCACGAGACAAACTTGTATACTTTTAGATTTATTATTGCGGCTTATGAGTCGTCACTGATGGCTGCCTGTTTGCTTCGTTTTTTAACGGCACAATAAACAAAAACAAAAAGTGATAATAACAACGAATCAGCGACGAAACGCGCTGCACGATATCAAATGCTATGTTTGCGCTAATGTTAATAGCATGGTCCCCTGATGATGCACCGAATTATCGATAGTTACTCTTAATTCAACATGAATATCGATAGCATTGACGATGGTTGAACACCGTATGCTACTGTTAACATGCGGCAATCGAGCGCGCAGCCTACTAGCACTGTCAACTTGTTGCAATGAAAATTGAATTTGAAAACGGAAGCAATCTGGCAGGCTCGCAAGGAAAAGTCGAACGACTCAAAAGCAATTTGTTAATTTTGTGGTGCCCACTTCATATTTTTTGTTTGTATTTTTTATTATATTTTGTTTTGATGTTAGCCTAGATGTGGCAGCAACAACGTGTGCAGTTGCCCTTGAAATCGTCATAGCAACGGACGCACAACAAATGAATTGTTAGCTTTTGGCTATTTTGCTTTTGGCTTGCGTTTCTCGCGCAACAGCAGACGGCACGCTAGCTGAGCGCTTGGCATTCTTCAACAGAACATTCCAAATTCAAAGTGCACACAGACATAACAATACACCAACTATGGCTATGGATAATGCAAGGTAGGTCAAATTGAAATTGGGTGAATTTCTTGTTCGCTCTCTATTAAATTGTTTGTTTGTAATTGTAAATGGCTCAGCTTGGCAATGGAATTGCTGCGAGCCGCCACGGAACAAAATGAGGCCACCACACCCAGTGCCGAACCCAATTCCAACAACAATTCGAATACCCATTCGGATGCCAACATCTCCAACAAATTGCCAGAATACGTGTCCAGGTTCCGCATCGATGGGCAGCCCATCTTGCCGCCATTGGTGAGTAGTTAGAGCTATAGCCATAGCGGGCGTGCCATCACTCAAGCATATCCAACCTAGATGACAGCAGAAAAGCGACAACTGATGCGACAGCTGCGCGAACGCGCTATGCAACTGGAGGCCAAGTACAAGCAGGCGCAGGCCGTCAGATCGACTCCAGACGTTGCCAACAACACCAAAGGCGCCACCAGCACCAACGCTAACGGCAAGAGCAACGACAACAGCAAAGTCAACAATAAAAGCAGTAGCAGCAGTAGCAGCAGCAGCAGCAGCAGCAGCACAAGCAGCAGCAACTTGAGCAACAGCACCATGGAGAACCCACATAGAGTGCCGCAGCTGCAACAAACGGAAACTTTTATCTATGACAGCACACGACGTTTCCAACCGCAATCGCAGCCCATGATGGATCGTCCCCAGACGCTGGACATTGAGCCAAAGGGAGCATCGGCAGTGAATGTAATTCCAACCATTTGCGTGAATCCACCGACGCCGCTATGCGAGCAGCCCCAACCGCAGCCACAGCCAAAGCCAAAGCCTCAACCACTGCCGAAGCGCACAGCTGCGGCTGCTCCCGAGTCCAAGGGCAGCCTTCGCTCGCTCAGCACCCATCATCGCAAGCTGAACAACATAACCACGCGCATATTGCAGTTCGAGCGCACGGGATTGGGCAAGATGACGCCGCTGAAGCCGCAGCCAGCCCAGCTGCTCTGGCAGAACGAGACGATCGTGATATCGGACAAGCGCATGCTGCGCTCCAGCACCAGTCCCTCGCTCAGTGCTGCCCAGGGGAACGATGGGCAGCTGCATCGCTCTCGCTCCTTTACGCTCGACGAGCCGTCGCAGGCGCTCGTGGAGCACATGAAACGCGAGGGCAAGGGGCCGCTGATTCCGCCACCACCACCACCACCGCTGCCAAGGACACCAGCGGCACCAGCCACGACTGCCAGTGCTCCCACATTCGCCCCGTCCACGACTCCGCGCTGCCGCTTAGCGGGCAACGTCTCGTGCTGCTCGTCGGCGCACAGCTTGGCGCACTTGCGACGCGACACCATCGAGTCGAAGGCCAAGCAGGTGCAGCGCAGCGTGAGCAGCAGCCTCGTCGACACGCTGAAGTCCCAATCGGCTCCGGCTGCTGCAGGCAGGCGCCGTGGCGGGGTCTCCGTGCGCCAGCAGCAGCAGCAGGCGCAGCTCGAGGAGCTGTTGCAGCGGGCGCTGCACGAGACCCATGCCGCTGCGGCGGAGAAGCAGCACCTGGCGCTGGCCAAGAAGCAAATGTTCAAGGACATCAAGAGCGCGCATCGCGATCGCTTCCAGCAGCTGGTGCAGTACCAGCACGAGGAGCAGCGCCGCATGCAGGAGGAGTTCGATCGCCAGCAAAAGTTCCTCATCGAACAGATCTGCACGGAGATCAACGTCTCCGCCTACGCCCACGAGTCGCTGTCGGGCGGGCGCAGTCCGAGCGGCGTCTCCGAGTACACTAGCACCGATGACCTGCCGACGCCGTCCCAAGTCTCGCCGAGCGACACGATCACACCCATGAATCTCACCATGGACATGTCAGAGCTGGACACGCTGCTGAGCGACGACAAGGGCAAGGACTCGGCATCGACTACGGCACGCAAGCGGCTCTTTGACGTGGGCAGCGAATCGGAGGGGCCCATGGAGCTGCTGCAGAGCGCCGTCAGCTCACCCAAAGCCCTGCCATTGCGCAGCCGGAATGCCAATACGAGCCCCAAAGCCAACGTCAATAAGAAGGCCGTGCAGCGCAGCCATTCCAAGCCGCCAGCCTCGAAGAGCGGCGTCAGTCCAGTGCTGTTGGTCAGGTCGCCGCCGGCTCGCAAAGTGGCCAACAAGACGTCGACGCCAGCTTCGCTGGCAGCCAAAGGCAATCCACGGAACCCACAGCAGCAGCCACAGCCTCAGCAGCAGCAGCAGCAGCTAACAGTAACCAAGAGCCGACGCAGCGGCTCGCCGAGCCGTTCGACTGTAAGTAGTAGCTTGGCAGTGCGCCCAGAGTTGGGCAATAATGCTAACAAGAATATTTCTTCCTCTCTTCTGTCCTAATCCTGTTTTTGCTTACCATGTTGCACTGTGGCCATGCCAGCAGCGTTTTGTGGCCAAGAAGTAATATGAGTGATTGAACATATCGAAGCCAAGCAAGTGCCTTAGCCCAAAGGTTGGGCAATCTTTTGGAAACAATATATTTATATATATCTATATTAGCTAAGCCTTTGACACGTTTCCACATCGATTGTTCAATAAAAAAGCAACGAGAGCTAACTAACCAATAAGCCTAAGCCTTTCTCAATACGATCCACACAATTTCCGAAACGCAGCAAGATCAACTAACTAACTAATCAATACCTTTCTCAATACGATCCACACGATATTGTTATTAACACGCCCTCTGATCCCCACCAGCGACTGGCAGCGTGCCACCTGGAGGTGGACCGACGTCACCTGGCTGCCACAATTCTGAACGCGGCGACGCGCGGCTTCCTGGTGCGACGCCTCTTCCGCACGGAGCAGGTGCAACGCATCGTGCAGACCATACGGGACACGCTCATCTTTGTGCTGAATCTGCATATGGAGACATGCGGCAAGAGTCTGGACCAGGAGGAGCCGGCCAACATACGCCTGAAGGCGCGCCTCCTCCAGCAGGTGAGCTGCCCTGAGATTCACATTTCTATATATCATTTTATTTATTCATGTCTCGACAGCTCTGCTCGGCCAGCCGCACCCTGCACCTGATCTTCTTCCAGACGAGCATCAAGGAGCGCATGGAGATTATTGCACGGGATCGAAAGCGCATTAAGACAAAGCTGTCGACCTCGCACGCCAAGCATCGAAACTAAACAATACTCAGGGAAGGAGGGAGCGCTTCTTACTCCACTTTTGGATGTCGCCAGCTCCTTCAATCACTCTCTCTCTCTCTCACACACACACTCACACACAACTCTTTTTCACTTGCGTACCACATGAAGACTATTTGCCTAACGTTGCCTTTAAGACTAATTTTTTGAATTCTTTACCACATCGAATTGCAGATTCGAAATCTGCATTGACCAATGTAGCACGAAGTTAGGATTTTATGTATAATGAATGCACTTGCAGATGAACAGCTCTAAGTTAAACTTTTCTTGCTTTAAGATTCGTTGGAAAGCAAAGAGATTGGAGCTAGAAAGTAAATATAT